GCAGCATGGAAAGGTTGGGTTTATACGAAAACATCCAAAAAAAAAATTACGTGGGCAGGAATGCAATTACTTCCTAATCAAGTTACATAGGTTTTGCCCCAATATTTGTAAAAGAAGTGTCAAGGAAGATAAAGAGAACTCTATCTTGTGAGAGGCGAATCATTTCCTTCTGACGAAGTAAGTTTTGAGCATCATCGTCAGGATCAAAGGTTTCTAAGTGCAAGGGTTAACCTTGTAAGATTCTTATGATCCACTACCTAAGATCAGAAGTCACATGTCATCGTGAAGATCTAGTAAGTAAAAGCATGTTGAGCTTAGGTTTGCTTGGGGACAAGCAAAGTTCAAGTGTGGGGTTATTTGATGAAACTTGAAAGTATCTATTATAGAACCTCGTATTATGACCCAAAGTGCATACATTTCCCATCATTAGTGTCATAATACCTTGGATTTATGATATGATTGATTCAAGTGTACTTTAGAAACCATAGGATTGCTTTTATACGATTGATACGCTTTTGGTAGCTTTCTGTGCATTTTCAGGGCAGTGGACCACTTGGAAGTCGTATGGGACATCAAGACCAAGTTGCTGGAGCTAGGATTTGAAGACTGGACATCTAGGTAAAACAGATCTCGGAGTGCCGTTTTGATGAAGGAAAAAGGCGCCAACAACGCCATTTTAGAGAGCTCGTCCACTTCGTGAAGAATTTATCCCATAGCATCCTACTTCATTACCCATGTGTTTGGAACACTCTGATTTGGCTGAATGATGGAGGAGCTGCACTATTTTTTCCCTATAAATCCTAATCGAAGATCTATAAATAGAGCTCTAGAGATAGAGTTCGGGTAGAGGAGACAAGAGGTCGAGGAAGTTTCCTTTCTCTACCGCTAGAACAACCTTCTTGACTTAGAACGAGACCACCCTACGAGGGGGAATAAGTGCCCAAAACCCATTGGCCTATTTTCTCTTTTCTAAGCGCCGATTTCAGTAGGCCTTCCCGTTCTCTTCGTTTTCATTGATGAACATCCAGGAACCCGTCCCCATGACTGGCTAAGTTCCTTAATTGTGTAGGTATGTGAACCCTATGGGTTCTAATCATGTAAACTCGATGATTTGGTTTAGTACGACTGATTGATTTACATATGCGTGATATTGATTTTCTCTATTTCATTATTGGTCCATTCGAATTAGAACTTACAATAGATATGCACTCCTTCGAGGTGCAATAATCGAACATCCTATTCGTTTAGGATGGCACTAGAAATAGCATTCCTACTCGATTGACCTTCATTCGAACGAACAGGGTGATACCTCAAGGGACAAATCCGAAGGGTCCTTGTCACCCATTAGTTTGGGTAAAGCTTTGACACAAGGTGGAATCTAACTAGATAAGAAATAGCCAGCTCGTATGCTACCGGTCATCGAGGGCACATGGTTAGGAGACCTATGAGGAGCTTGCCTATGCAACGCCTTCCTTCCCTAATCTTTCACTCGTCAATTAGCTTAGGATTTACTTTTCAGCACCGCTTTACTTCTCGAACTCTTACGTTCTGCAAAACCAGTGGCACCTCAATCTCCTCAACCAACCTCTTCTTCAATAGAACCGTACCTCGCTTCCGAAGTTAGGGTTCTGCGAGAGGTCTGAGGGAATATGATCATAGCTTTTTGGTAGCGACACTACAATCGACATCAACCATCACCAAGCCATTGCCAATTTCTCTCTATTCTTTCATCGATTTTGTTGTTAGTTCTTCAATCCAAATAAGTGCCATGATCTTAAAATGCATTAAAGAGTTTGAATCATGGTTTTGTAGCTTCAATTGAGTATTTCATGTTTAGAATTGCATGTTAGGGTTCTTGCTCCTTTCATAGCAAACCCTTGCCTATTTGACCACAATTAATTGTTTTTTGAATCTTTGATGATAGTTACTGTACTTCTCATATTATTTATGGATGCTTATTGTGATTTTAATATTTTCAAATTGTTGAAATTGTTGCGTTTTAGCAAAGGTCATTCTAAAAATTCTTGAAATATGGTGCTACTTGCATATGATAGAAAGTATTTTTTGAAATTTTGATACTTTATGAATTGGTAGTTGGATTGAATATGATTTTACGTGTGTCAACTATTCAATAATAATGAATTAACCATCTAGGGATTATGTGAATTATGATCGCCAATACATACTTAACTAGGATTAAATGGTTTATCTAATCTCTATATTTATGAACTTTAGTATTTCCTACCCATATGTGCTTCAATGATTTATGAGATTAGATGAGTATAGCATGAGGTTCCTATTATAATGAATGCTTAGAATTCGAGTCACCCAACTATCCACTGAAACCTGAATTTCTAACGAAAGAAGCTTTCTTTGAAAGCTTGCACCAAGATATATGTTGCTACTTTTGCTTTTTCATCTTCAATATTGACCATAGAGGAATTCTCCAGTACCTTAGACTAACCTTCGGCTAGTAGAGCCTCAGCTTCTCTAGCCTTTTTTATATATATGAATATTGATCGTGATTTAGGGATTTGAGACATTTCTTAAGTCTTCTCGGTCTATTTTCAATACGGCTGAAAGGGTCAGAGATAGATGAATGACTAGACTAGACTAGACTGTATGAACCAGACTATGATATTGAGGATGAGATCTCTAAAATTTGAAGTACCTGAAGGGTTTAGGACTTTAGGGTGACTTTTCAACACATGACCATTATTAAGTAAGATCCTCCAAGGATCTGAAATACCAAGGTTGATGGTTTTAGCTGAGCTAGACTTGTAGACATTCAAGCAAAAGTTATTCACTAACACTCCGTCAATGCGCCTAGCAATAGAGTTGTCTTGTTGTTTTTTGTTAGTTTCTCTGCGCATGGTTGTGCGGTGGATATAAATACAAATTTTCTTGTTTCTTTTTTTTATTTAAAATTAAATTGATAACAAAAATAACAAAAGATTGACTGATTTAGCCTTTTTTTGTCGCCACGCCACTAAAATTCTTCCAACTTACCACCACATTTGCTAGCTCACCACGTTTTCAAGCTCTACATGATATAATGGAACTATTAACGGGAATTTAACGATTGGCTCTATTATTTTATATTATCAAAGATTTTACTAATAAATTATATTTACTTAAAAATATCAATGAATTACATTAGAATCTGACTTGGTAGCTTATGTGGAATGCCACTAACAACAATAAATCAATGACTACAATTTTTCAATGTTATGAAAGATTTATCTATCAAATTTTTTTAATAAATTTGACTAATATTTCATCAAAATTAAAATATTTGACTGATTAATTATATTTAACTAAATAAAAAAACCCATAACTTTTATTTCTGTGAAATTATTTATCAAAATAATAGTTTTTAATGAATTTGTTTGTTTAATTACATCCATTTAAGCATTACGCCATCTATCAAGATTTCTTTATCCAAACCACGCAAATTTTAAGGTGATGCATTATAATTTATGTATATATGTATATATATATATATAGAAAATGTTAGCAGCACTATGCATGAATAGAAAGAAAAGGGAAAGAGTAGAATATCGGTTTAGGGAAGAAGATGAGGTTTTGGTGGGATTATGGATGGATCATGGGTGAAAGGCTAATTCAAAACGACACGTAACTTAGTGCGTATGTGTGTTGCAGCATTTCATTAGCAATGATGTTGTCGCCTTGTCGGCTTGTCGCTTGGTTCCCCCATTGCTTTGTGTCCTTTTATCTATTTATATATTTTCACTAATCGCTAATTAGTCCACCAATTCCATTTCTATTCACATTCAGCTCATCCAATTTTATTTGTAGCACTTTAGTAGTTCTTACGTAATTTAGGAATGGAAAAAAGTAAAACAGCTGGAGCGAAATACTCATTTGATAAGTATTTACGGGAACCATTAACCATTTAGCGAGAATAATATTAGAAAATCTAAACTGTGCAAAGGATGTTATTTCTGGCACGAACATATTATAACATTTGTGACACAAATTATTAGTTGGATGAAACCAGGGTCAACATCTTATCTACACCATATAGCTTAAGAAATGTATCATACCGGTCAGTTCGAAAATGAAATATCGGATACCAGACCCCAAAAGGTAGGAGGTTTTAGCTGGACGAAACAATGATTGAAAAATAGTACTAGAAGCTGTACCGAAAAAGTCAACGGTATGATATTTAATGACAAAACAATAGTTAAATCGTTTCATACCGCTAAATACAACCTACTGGTTTCGCTTTCGATAAGAGGTTTTTCTGCTTAAATCGCCAGTACAATACATTTTTGCAATTCTTGGTACGAAACGGTCGAATCACGAGTCAACCATAATTTTACTACACAACATTCTACTACTAACTTTTTTTTATATAACTTCTGATACGGTTTCGCAATCATTGCTACACCACCAACTGGAGAAGGGGTTAACAAACAACTATGGAGAAAGGAAAGAAAGGGAGGTGAAAAGTTAGCATTCGGTTATTTTTTTCTAAATTGGAGCGTGCATATCAGATTATTGGAAAGTAGGGACCAAAATGGCAATACTTCTTTTATTCGGGAGTGAGCTACCAATACTTTAACTAAAAGTAGTTAACTGCAACTCAAGGCAGAAAGAATTATTGGAAATTATTTGAGGAGGTAATTAAATTAGCAGACCACGCAGGCCTTTCGATTAAAGATGAGACACTCTCGAGAGCGACGCTATGATGGTAGTACCGAAATCCACCGTCGTTGATTAAAAAAGATCAACGGACAAGATTCAACCACCCCTCAAAACCCTTCCACCCAATCATACCTCTCCGTACCATTTTCATAATAATAATAACTTATTAATAATCATTGTTCGGCGGAGTAAATAATAAAGAAAACCGAAACGCGAGAAAAAGCTGAGGAAGAAAAAGCAAGAGTGTTTTTTAAGCCCCGATTAAAAAGAGAAGTTGAAAATTGTTATTAAAAAAAAAAAAAAGTAAATTTCTTTTTTTTTTTTATGCATAGAGAGCTTCACATCAGACAGCAATTAATCTTTTGTTGCTTTGTGACAAATGGAGGATCCTTAGTCCTCTTTTCCCCAGTTTTTCCTCTCTCTCTTCCTTCCCTATCCGAGTCTCCGTCTCTCTCTCTCCGGTCTCTTCTCCGGGAAACAAGTCTTGGTAATCGATCAACGATTCCGGTCAATCTTTTAAGGTAAGAGAGCCGCTAGCTACTTTTCCGTTTTCAACCTAGCTTCCCGGGAGATTCCGCTTCCTTCCGGTAGCTTTTTCCTCTTTCGGATTCCCCGATTTGGCTTTTCGCTTGGCTGGATGGTGTGCTGTGTTTCCTAGCTCTCTTTCTTTCTGTTTGTTTCCCGAGAAAATAGAGGCAAATACGAGATGAGAGTTTCAATTTTTCCTGTAATGTGCTGGTTTTGGTTTCAGTCTAACAGTAAAAGAAGAACGAACTTTCACGAGCTGGATAAGTGAGAGAGCGAAGTTGATTTTCCCCTTTTTTTCCAATTTTTTTTTTTATCGCGAAGTCGGTATTTGTTCTTGCTTGCACGAAATTTTCCTGCATTTTCTTGCCTGCCAAACAGAGCATGCATCATATTGTTTGCTTCTGCTCTTATTTTTTTCCTCTTCCTTTTTAGTTGGGGAAACATTTGCTGGTGGCTCTGTGTGAGTTCTCTCTTGCATATGGCATACGGAAATCATTATCGACTGCAATTAGTTCCAACGTTGAATGCTTCGTACTGCTATCTCGCATATACAATTTTCTCGCTATAAATGCAAATTGTCCTTTCTGTTGTGTGTCTCTTTTTCTCTCGTTCTGGGTCGATATCTTTGATTTTAGTCAGGATATTGGTGATTAACCTGAAACTTTGTTCTTAGATCTATCATCTCCTGTGCCTAGTTACACACTGTGATTTAGTGCTCGCCTAACATTAGTATGAAACCCCTTTGGTGGAAGAAGCGTCATCGTTGGTTGGATTTGAACTTTCTGCTGGTCTCTTGCAGGTAATTAAGCGCGGGGGAATTCTGAGCTTTTTTAATTGCTAAATTCTGATGACTCCGCCACTGCTCGGTGGTGTAGAGGAGGTTGCCAGCAGTGCTTCGCTGCTGGCTTCTTCAACCTCAATAGAAAGCGTATGTCAGAATGGGTCTGCTGAGCTCAAAGAGCGCAACTACATGGGATTGTCTGATTCTTCCTCATCTGGGGATAGCTCCGCAATCTCTGCCGTCACTGGTGAGAGCAAGACTAGTCTGAATCTTAAGGCGACAGAGCTTCGGCTTGGATTACCAGGATCTCAGTCGCCGGAAAGGAACTCAGATCTTTCCTTATTTGCCTCTACTCAGCTTGATGAGAAGCCCCTCTTCCCCATGCATCCAGTGAACGATCATCATGGATCTTCCACGCCCAAGACTTTACTTTTGGGGAATAAAAGAGGGTTCTCTGATGCCATGGATGGCTTCTCAGAGGTGAAAAATCAACTGCTCTTGACTGGATCAGATCCAGCACTCTTTTGTTATTTCACAAATGGGGTTTGATTTCATTCTACTGCTTCTTTTTGATGGGTGCAGGATAAATTTTCTTCTGAATCGAAGGTAAATGAGATGTTAACTCCGAGGCCATCTCAGAACTTGGGGCTGAAACCGGGTTCCATCCTCGAGAACCTGACTTCTCAAACAGCAAAGACGAATGAAGCAGTAGGGCAGAAGCCTGCACAAGAAAGGCCCCATGTCTCGAACAACAACAGGGGCTCTGCAAACAATAGCAGTGCACCTGCTACTAAGTAATCTTCTGTCTTGATTATGATAAGCTTGGGCATGGAACTAGTGTGACTTATACTTATTATCTGGCAGGGCACAAGTTGTGGGTTGGCCACCCATCAGGTCGTTTAGGAAGAACTCACTTGCTACCTTGTCCAAGAATACTGAAGAAGTAGATGGAAAGGTGGGTGCTAGTGCTCTGTATGTCAAAGTCAGCATGGATGGTGCTCCATATCTGAGAAAAGTTGACCTGAGGAACTACTCTGCATATAAGGAACTCTCTTCGGCTCTTGAGAAGATGTTCAGCTGTTTTACCATAGGTGGGCTAAATCATAGTTCAAATTGGATGTGCGACACTAAGTTCTGCTTCAGAAGATTTTGTTATGGTTTTTTATGTTCAAATTTCTTCTGCTGTATCTGTTTTCGTAACAGGTCAATGCGGATCCCATGGAACTTCAGGAAGGGAGATGCTGACTGAAAGCAAGTTGAAGGATCTTCTCCATGGTTCAGAATATGTTCTCACCTACGAGGATAAAGATGGAGACTGGATGCTTGTCGGTGATGTTCCATGGGAGTAAGTGTTAATCCACATTAAATACTTGAACTTAGTTTGGTTGAATGAACAAATATTATTGGATACTTCATCCTGTTAATATTATCTAAATGCTCATCTTTCTACGAGATGTGTGGTATTGAAATACCTAATAATCTAAAGCACTGAATCGGTGACTCTTTCTATTAGAAACTTAAGTATTTAAATGATGAGAACATCTGTGATATAGATGTTATAATCATTTCGCTTCCAGTGATAACTATGTCTTACAATTCTACTTCCATTTGTAGTATGAACGACACTTAAAAACTTTTTGCAAAACTGCTAGCAGCAAAAATATAGTGTGGATCATTATCTAATATCTATGCATGAATGGCTTCTAGGTTTTGTTGGATTCGATTATTTATTGATTAGAGATTAGATGACTATTAAGCAAGGGTGGCAAGGATTGTTAGCAGAAGAACGAGTGAAAGGGGTCAAGTGAAATACCCAAACACATGGGTAGTATTCAGCCAACCCAAACTTGGTGGTTTTGTGTATTACCCTAGCCAATTAACTAAGGGTACCCTATGAGGTCGAGCTGGGGTGGGTTTTCATCGGTTTCAGTAAAACTGTCCTCCACAATCCCTACTCAGACTATTTTTTTTTTTTAGATAAGGGACTATTACAGATTCCTGAATCAACACTTCCACTGTCCTGATTTCCATAGCAACACTTAGTGTCGACAATAGCTACTTGTTTCACATTTTTTTTAGATATTCAGTTTTTGTTTCAGTGAGGGGTTGTTTACTTGAATCATGTGCTTCTATTTGGTGATGAGAATGTACAGAGTGCTGGAACAAATAAGCAATTCTCGACGTTGTATCTGTTAAGTTTGTATGTCATATATTTGCTTTATTACATATATTCTGACTTTGCAACTTTGAGCACTCACTGTTCTTATCCCAACCGAGTCCTCTTTCTTCATGTCATGTCCAAATTCCAATATATTATTGTGGGAACCAGATATTTGACAGTTTCAAGCTTTCTAATTAATGATTCTTTAATGTTTAGGATGTTTATTGACACCTGCAAGAGGATGAGGATCATGAAGGGTTCTGACGCCATTGGTTTAGGTGCGTTGTGTCATTAAAATTTATTTTTTAATGCAATATATTGCAATCTGAACTGTCGAAGGATAGCAGTGACTAAAGCTATTCTCTTAAGAATTTTGAGTCCTTTAGATATCAGTAGTCCAGTAGCACATGTTTTACTGATGCATCAGAGGCATAGGATAGCAGTGAACGATGCTATCCTTCTAAGAATGAGTAGTCCTCTTAGATATCAGTACCATGGCATCTACTTGTGTTTTGCTGAAAGATTGAGTGTGCCATAGAGAAGACAGAAGTGTAGTAAGAAAATTGTGTTCTAGAATCAAAGGTTGGCTTGCGGAATGATTGAGTTGGCTGTTATTTGCCAATCCATGCATAATGTCTTTGAAAATCTCAATAGCCTGCTTGACCCATTGCAAGTGTCTCTGGATTTGCCCATCCTCTATTTTCTATGAGCATTCCCATCTATTTGGTACATTATTATGTCTACAATATTTGGTTAAACGCCATGGTTCTGCTTTTGGTTTGCTAAGTTATGTAGGAACTATATTAAAATGCATGTAGTAATTCTGTTAACGAGTCATTTGATTTAGATCTTGTCTTGGCCTGACAACAGGTAGAGGGTTCTGCCATCAGGACTGGGGAAAATGTCGGTCTGTTTATGCAAATTTGTCTTCTTTTATGTCACTTTCATCTGAGATGCATCCTGATTTCCAATAGCATGACCACTTAAATAATTCCTGTGAAGCTCAGTTTATGCCGATTCTGAGTGCTAAAACTCAGAATTAGCACACGAGCATTATATTTGATAGTGAGTTCCTGATGTTTGACTAGGCACCGAGTAAGGAACACATGTGAAATGCTACTAGAGTTATTCGAGTAGTGTATCATGTCTGCAAATGTTGACACCAGTGGGGTTATCATGTCATGGATGACGATTAGTATTTGTAGTGGAACTTCAATTCTTCAGTATAACAGAAATTGCCGTACTTTGACTTGTTTGCAGCCCCACGGGCGGTAGAGAAGTGCAGGAACAAGAACTAGCCAGCAGCAGTTGCCAGGGAAGCAGGAAGAAGAAGGTGTTGGGATTGGATGGATTGCTGCGGGTAATGGCTTTTTATGTTCCGTTAGTAGTTGGGCGTTTTTAATATGTAATTTTAACTCCGTTTTGTTTGTTAAGTTGAATTAAGAGGAAAGAAAGAGAAGTGGGTGTTATGGTGTTGTCTGTTGTAGTTGTGCTGTGCTTTTGCTGTCAAGAAGCCTTGCTTGCTGTCTCCTTGTCAATTGAAAAAGAAAACTCCAATGCACAACTTAAAAATTGTATTTGTGAGAGAGCAATTTTATTCTATGTGTGTTTTTCTAAAATAAACAAAGAAAAAAAAAGAGATTGATGAATGAATGAAGTAACAGGGGGTTTTCTTTTTCTTTTTTTACAATAAGAAGTGAACAGTTTTGCAATGCATAAGGATCATCCCTAACACTATGTTTGGCAACAAGGGGGTGCAAGTTCGAGGGGGGTGCAAGTTGAGGGGTAAATTGTTGGGGGGTGCAACTTGGTGGAGGGTGTAAGTGAAGGGGTAAATTGTTGTTTGGATGAAAAAGTAGGGGGTGCAAATAGAGTAAAAAGTAAGTAATTATATTATTATAAAATAGATTTATCAATTTATAAAATATTATCACAAAATAATAACATGAAAATTCAATATATAATAATAATAAATAAAAATAATTTTAATAAAAATAATTATTATATAATAATGCTCAAATTCAAGCTGTGCGTGTGAATTTGAGTACTCTCCCGATCTGGGTTCGTATCAGTGGGTTGCCACTTGAATATAGCACAGAGGAAGGATTGAGTAGAATTGCCAGTTTAATTGGGAAACCACTCTGGATGGATCAAGCTACTCTGATTGGAGCACAGGCGGGTGTAGCTCGAGTCTGTGTGGAGATTTCGGCCGATTTTGAATTCCCAGCTACAATTAGGGTTGCACCTGAGGGAGATGCTCCACTATCCCTGGATGTTCGGTATCTTCGAGTCCCATCAGTGTGCAAGTAGTGCAAGGAGTATGGGCATTGTGAGGGTCAGGGTAAGGAATGCAAGGTGGTGCAGATTGCTGCTAGCAAGGATTTTGTCAGGGCAGAGGCTATGACTAGTGAAGTGGCCTGGGTTGCAAATACTAAGGTCTCGGCACTGGTTACTAATGGGGAAGAATCAGGGAAGGGGGACGGTTCTGATGAGATAGGGCCTAATCTCGAATCTGAAGAAGCTGCTACATCAAATAATGGGGGTCTGGATTCTGGCTTGTCTGGTACAGATGAGGGGGATCCAGGGCTGGCAAACTCTGGACAGTCCACTGCTGCTGTTGAAAGTGGAATGGGGTCTAGTAGGAAGGTTGTCACACCTACAAGCTCTCATGCTGGGTCAGGTAAACTAATTGATGAGGATGGGTTCCAACTGGTAACAAGGAAGGGTAAGGGGATCATGTATGACACTGCACTTAAGATTCCAATCTCTGCTGTTCAGTCCAGGGTTCCATTAAATGCTCAGGGGCATGCTCTTGTTGATCGAGGTCCTCCTAAGAAGGGGAGGGGTAGGAAGAACAAATGAAGTTGTTGAGTTGGAACCTCAGGGGCTTTAATGCCTCTGAGAAACATAGATATATAAATAGACAGTTAATAAAGTTAGGTATTGATTTTGCAGCTATATTAGAAACTAGAGTGTTGGAGAAGAACGCAGGGGATATAGTTCATCGTCAGTTTAGTAGTTGGCAGCATTTAAATAATTATGCATATTCAGCTTCAGGGAGGGTTTGGTTATTCTGGAAATCTAGTTTGAAGGTTACGAAAATTCAGATGGGGGAACACTTCATCCAAGTTAGAGTTGAAGGGGTTTCTACGTGTGTGGTCACAGCTATATACAGCCCGAATAAAGCAAGTGAAAGGGTTGCATTATATTCTGAATTATTGAAATATAAAGTGGTGGGGGAACCTGGTGTTTACATGGGGGATTTTAACGCTATTTTGGATGTTTCAGAGGCTTCGAATGTTGAGGTGATGAATCAGGGGGGTCTGGACTTCAGGGGATGGGCTAGGGATATGGATCTTACTGATCACAAGATCATTGGCTCAAAATTCACCTGGTGGAATAAGCAGTTGGCAAATCCAATTGCCAAGAAACTTGATAGGTTTCTTGTCAATGTGGAGTGGCTGGCTTCTTTTCCTCAGAGTGTTGCAAAAACATTAGCACCAGGAGTTTCAGATCATTGTGGCCTGGTGATTGTGTTGGAACCACAATTAGGCTCGCTCCCAAAGCCTTTTAAGTATTTTACTTTCTGGCAGAAGCATCCACAATATGGGAGTTTGTTGAGTGAGGCATGGGGGGGAGAGGCAAGAGGATTACCTTACCAAAAATTTTACTATAAGTTGAAGAGGTTTAAAGACAAGTTGAAGAAATTGAATCGATCAGAGTACTCTGACATATCTGTGAGAGCTAGAGAAGTAGAGGCAACTCTTGAGCAGCAGCAGCAGCTTGTTCTTCAAGACCCAACTGAAGAAAATGTGAGGAAGGAGGCTGAATTGGCAACCCTCTGCCATGATGTTCAGCTTGCAGAAGAGAGTTTCTTCAAGCAGAAGTCAAGGATACGAGGTATTCAGGAGGGAGATGCCAACACAGCCTACTTCCATGCCATGGTGAGGGTGAGAAATCATAAGCAGACAATCATGAGGCTGGTAAAGGATGACAATACAGAAGTTACAGAGGTGAAACAAATGGGGGAGGTAGCAGTTGATTTTTATAAGAAGCTGCTAGGGGAGATTGACAAAGAAGTTCAGTGTAATTCGGTTGATTATTTCCAAAGTCAATTAAAGCATAGACTAAGCCCAGAGGGTGTGCAGGTGCTGATAGAGCCAGTCACTAGAGAAGAGATCAGGGAAGTGTTTAAAAGAATGCCTAAAGATAAAGCCCCTGGGCCAGATGGCTTCACAGCCGAGTTCTACAAATCGGATTGGGGAGTAATTGGTAGTCTGGTGGAGGAGGTTGTTCTGGACTTCTTTCATACAGGTGTAATGCCTACACAGGTGAATTCTACAATCCTCTCTCTTATCCCAAAAGTTACAAATGCTGATAAAATGAAAGATTTCAGACCCATATCCTGCTGTAATGTGCTGTATAAAGGAATATCAAAGCTTCTTTCGAATAGGCTAGCTGCTGTGCTTCCTTTGGTAATAAGCAGATCTCAGTCTGCTTTTATTAAAGGAAGGTTAATAAGTGATAATATCTTGATGGCTAGTGAATTGGTGAAAGATTATCATAAAAAGACCACAACCTCTAGATGCGTTTTGAAGATAGATTTAATGAAAGCATTCGACTCTGTCAACTGGTCTTTCCTTTTAAACATGCTTCTTGCTATGGGTTTCCCTGTCTCTTATGTTCGATTAATTGAAGCCTGTATAACTACCCCTAAGCTCAGTGTATCGTTTAATGGTGGTCTATGTGGCTATTTCTCTGCTGGAAAGGGCCTTAGACAAGGGGATCCCCTTTCCCCATATTTGTTCACTGTGGCGATGGAGTATTTTTCTTGCTTAATTCAGAGGGAAGCATTGGATAATCAAGTCCCTTATCACCCACGTTGTAAGGCCCTTGAGATCACTCATCTGTGTTTCGCAGATGATCTCCTTGTTTTTACAAATGGGTCGATAAGGGGGGTGGCAGGGATTAATAGAGTATTAGCTCAATTTTATAAGGATTCAGGCCTCCGCTGTAATCCTGCAAAATGTCAACTGTTCTGCTGTGGTACTTCTGTTGAGGAGCAGCAATGGATATCAAGTGTCACTGGATTCCCTCTTGGTAGCCTGCCAGTGCGTTACCTTGGTGTTCCCCTTATATCAGGTAAGCTTACTTCTGCTGATTGCTCTGTGCTAGTTGATAGGATAACCAAGAGAATTAGTACATGGCAAGCACTGAAACTTAGCTATGCTGGTCGTTTACAGTTAGTCTCTTCTGTTATAACTAGCACTATGCAATATTGGATGGCCCTGTTTTTACTGCCCCAAAAGCTGTTGAAAGACATTGAGAATATATGCAATCATTTCCTGTGGGGGGTGGGAGACCGTAGTTTGAGGAAGAGGGCACTGGTTGCATGGAAATTTGTTGCTCTGCCTCGAAGAGAAGGGGGACTAGGGATACGAGATTTTAAGAAATGGAATCAAGCTTGTGTGATTCGCCATATATGGAACTTGTTGGCAGTTTCTGGATCGCTGTGGGTGGCTTGGGTGCAAAAGTATCGGTTGAAAACAAGATCTATATGGGAAGTTCAAGGGCAATCAGCAGGGACCTGGATATGGAGGAAGATTTTGAAGAGTAGGGAGGGGGTTCAGTCTCATATATCAGGCAGTGGGGAGTCTCTCGCATGGGACAACAAGATTCTGCCGAGGTATTCTGTAAAACTGGTGTGGCAAACCATTAGAGAATCTCAGGCACAGGTTGACTGGTACAAAGTGGTCTGGGGGAAGCCTTTCAGTCCGAAGCATAGTTTATTGTTATGGCTTGTGCATCTTAATCGGATTACAACGAAGGACAAGTTACAGAGCTGGGGTTTAACTGATGACAGCTCTTGTGGATTATGTCCTGGTGGGATTGAATCAAGAGACCATCTTTTCTCAGGATGTTCTTATGGAAGAAGTGTCTTTGTGGCTGTGTTGTCTAAATTTTGCAAGTTCCCTGAGTGCTCTACATGGCATGACCAAATGCAGTGGGCAATCAGACAGTGGGCTGGGAGTACTAGTGGATGCTGTGGGGGTCGACTGAAATGGTCCATGTGTGTGAGCTATATTTGGCGTGAACGCTGTAGGTGTGCACATGATGGTGGGTTCTGTCCTCCAAGCAGATTGGCGGGTCGAATCGAGGATGAGGCAAAGTGGATCCTGGCGAAGTAGACATTCTGGAAGTATACTGATATATTGTATAGATAGGTTTTGATTTGAGTCGATGTATAGAGGAGGATAGATGCTATTTTTGTTGACTTTGAGAGGGGTTTTTGCTGTTGCAAGCCCTAGTGCTTAATGCAAATTTTGATTAACCATCAAAAAAAAAAACAAATATAATTATTTATAATAATAATAATAATCATTGGTCGAGCAACCTCGAAACTCGAAATCCAACTCGTAACTGGTCATCCTAAGGGGGTTTTCGTGTCTAACTTTAAATTGAATATGGTCAAACTTAGTCAAACACGTTCGAATCTATAAGTTTTAACTACTTATTAAAGTAAATCGAGTTGACTAAACTGTTCCTCTCTATCTTTTCAACAAACGCTTCTTATCTCTAATTTTCAATGCAAATTCGGGTCAATTAAGAGATATCGATTTGACTAGGCGAACATTGACAAACTTGCTCTCCGAGTCAAATGGTCAACCCCAAACAACTTCTACACTAATATAGATATAAGAAAAAATTAATAATATTAATTATTATGTAATTATAATCTAATTAAAAATCCATAATTCCCCTCCTCCCCCTTCCCCCTCCCTTCCTTCCTTCCCTTGCACCCCAATTTGGGGGGTAAGCCGAAATAGTGAATTTACGCTCACGTTTTGCACCCCCCTACTGTTACAAAATAACCAAACGGGGTAAACACCTTGGAACTTGTGTTTACCCCCAAACTTGCACCCCCTTCCATTTACCCCCTTCCCAAACATAGTTGTATAGTGTGTGTGTGGTTGCTTTGCTTAAAATGCTTTGGAAAACCCAACCCACCAAATGATTGCTATTATGAGACTTGGTCTTGCTTTGCTTTGCTTGTAAAAGAAAGAATATGAATAATTAATGGGGGAAATGAAAGCCAATTACTGTGGATTGGCGGGCAGTCGTGAGCAAGAGATACGGTTGTCGGGAGATAAAAGAACAAAATTGGGGAGGGCCATGTGATGTGATGATGGGCAGCTGAATTGAATCTGCTCCGTTGCTCAGTTACTTTCATTTAGTTGTGGATTCTGTCTTCCTAAAGAAGTGTCGAGACCAAGTTTGAAAATTACTTCACTTTCTTTGTGGTTCTGTTTCAGCAGTTGTTTTACATAAGGTTGTCAATACAGTTTATGATTTTTGGGTTAATCGTAACCGAACTTTAACCATACGGTTAGTGGTTAATCGCAAATCGCATAAGAGAGTCGTTAAATGGACACGATTTGTAATATGACATGTTTTGCGGTTAACCACTAACAGTATCGAATAAGAGAAATCTGTAGACTTAACCATTTAAATAATTGCACAAGCTAACCAACCCAATAAAGAATACCACACTCTAAGGTCTAAACTAAGCTCGACCCAAATGGCAAAGAGCCAAATACTCAACAGTCAACACTCTGTGAAGCAGACCTTGTTTTCGGATGGAAGCCCGACACTTAAGGCCTAAGAAATGGCCAAAACCCAAACAGAAAACAAAAGTATTTTGCTTTCTGTACAATTTCATTGGTTCCTTTCATCTAGAGCTCAATTGAATCAAATCCATTTTGAAGAGTAAAGACAGAAGAGTGTTGTCGGCACTCAAAGTTGTTGCACTTTCCGGTGCTCGAAGCTGCTACCCATAGTAGGTAATGCGGGTTTTGTTTAGGATTTTTTTCATATTGGATGGTAACTAGTGTTGTCAAGACCGATTTGGATCGGTCAGTAGGATCGGTAAAATCGAGACCCGGCCGCAAAGTTGGCCCAGTTGAATCCAAAAGCATCGGCGGTCGGAAAGGACAGTTTTTTATTTATTTATTTCTGACCATCTAGAACTCTCGATCTGCCTCTCTCACACTTCTTCGGCTTCACCTCCTCTGAGGCACCGACCAGCAACCCATCGACGACTCATCCGCTGCCGGCGAACCACACGTCCACGACGACAAGCTCCCCCTCTCAATCGCTATTTGTGTTAGGATTACTTTTAGCATATGTAAGTCTCAGGAAATTCATCTTGTCAGATATCAAAAGTTGATCGAAATACCTGGATTCATGTCGTAGATCATCTCGATCTTTGATGAGGAAAAAAATGGATGATCTAAGATCGACTGATACATGCAGCAGCATGACCCGGGAGGTTTTGCAGCCTTCCTCAACCAAGCCTCCTCAGTTCATCTCACAGGATTACCTCTGATCTTCCTGATGGAGAGAATAAGAGAGCAGTTTGGTATTGGTGTATTGGAGACCACAAACTCTAAGGGGTCGTTTGCTTGTTGGATTTGAAAAATGAAGGTTTTGTGCAACAAAAACCTTGGGATTCATGAGGGATTTATTGTATTATGGATTTGAAAAGTCTAGTGTTTGCATGATAGAATTTATAATGGATTTATGATGGATTTGTCACATAAGCAACTAACAACCATCATGGATTTACAAATCCCAAACAAATATGTGGGATTTACAAGTCCGTGGGGTCCACGGATTTGGTCCCAAATTAAAGACCAAATCCGTGGACCCCACGGATTTGATACCCATCAACAAACAATGGACTTGTGTTAAATCCATCAAACTTGGGATTTAGGTACCAAATCCATGACCCAAATCCAACAAGCAAACGACCCCTAAGTGGTTCTTTATATAGTGGTCACCATGGGCTCCCATAAAAGCCAAGGTGAGCTAGTATTGGATTTCCACCCATTTAGTTACATATCAAAACTCCTTGTCAAAAAAAAAAGTTACATATCAAAACAAGACATCTTTGGACTCCTTATTTGGATCACTTTTAATTAGTCTACATAACCAAATAGCTCATATAATTGTAAAATATGTAGCCCAGATCATTATAGGAAATAAAATTTCCTAACAATCTCTCACTCGGCCTGCATATTTTCCTTGAAACAATTATATCACAAAACGTGGTGTGAGACGAGGTAAGTGTTCTGTTCACAGCGCGCATTTTCGCCGCACGACAACAACCGTGAAGTGCTATGAGTTAGATGAATTTTACCGCGCCACGAGTTAATCATATCCCCAATAGTCATCCCGACTATAAAGTGACAAATGCTTCGAAAATATTTTTTCCCGTTGAATTGCTTCGAAAATTTTCTTCTTTTTTTATTTAGAATAACAAATTATAGAGCAAGTTAGATATTTGGGTCCGAACTTGTGTCAGTTGACAAAAAATCTAACAGAATGACTTTTATGTTACCGAACTATAAGGGCTTCCTTTGTTATAAATATAGCACATTAGTTCCTTTGTTATCTTAATATCTTTTCATAATTAAGGAGCTTGTAGAGTTGTTAATCCAAAAAAATATTTGAGTGTGTGTACATTTCTAAAATGCCTACATTTATCAAATGACTATTTTGCAAATCTTCCACAACAGACAAACCCTAGAAGTAAAGTTGAAAGACACAATCAGCAAGAAACTCGATCGCTTAATCACGAACAGAGGAATAGTGACATTTGGTTAAATCATATGACATATTACAACTGAAAACAACAAAACGAAAATACCAAACAGATCCTACAAATTACATTCCCAGCTCTTCTGAAAACGGTCTCCTAACTACCAAGTCCACAACGGAACACCAATAACGAAGGCACCATAACTATTTTCTCTTACTGTATAAAAGCAGACGCCAGATAACTATTTTCTCTTACTGTATAAAAGCAGACTGCAGAGTTGACATGGCCATCCTCTTAGCTTAAGCAAACAACTACCAAAAATATATTGGTTAAACACCGTTCAAGATGACCATCCATAGTTCCACCCTTTGGTGTGGCAGAGACATTCTTGTTCATCACCCACAATAATCATAATCAACAGAGAAGAATGAAGGGACTCTCTATATGGAAAAAAATAAAACATGAGTAGTAAACTTAATACAAGTAGTACACAGCCATGGATGTGGAGATCAGATTCAAACAAGATCATTCAAGCTACAAACTCCTTGTTCCCCCAAGCTCCAAACATTTGAAAAATTTCCCAACATGAAGGCTCCTCATCACACATATTAACATCCCAATTTTACTTACATATAGGTTAGGGGAAGGTAAAATTTGTCTCCACATTTCAAATGAATCAAGTAAGGATCTCACATTCGTGTTATTCAATTCCCAGAAGAACTGGCACTTAAAAATATCTCGGATTTCCAGGGAAGGCTTCACTTCTGACTGGTTTTGGCTCGAATCTTCTGTTCCAAGATGGCGACTTCCGTTTCCAAACTGAACATCCTGTTAAGAGCATGCATGTTCTCGAGCGTCTCACTCAAAGTCCGACTATCGCTACCATCACATCTCAAATGCTGCATCGGGCCATGCAACAGCTTGTTCACAATCCCCCTGCTGAGATCATCCACGGCTCTCCTTGTCTTCTTGGGAATATCATCCCCCATCTTAGCCAGGCATTTTTCCAGCTCAGCCAATCTAATCCTCTCTGCATACGCCCTCAGCTTCTTTATAGTAGGGACAGTCTCCAGGGAATCCCTCCAAGCTTCAAACTGCTTTGTCTCCTCAGTTATGATCTCCTGAGCTTCCATTGCCTTCCTCAACCGGTCCTCCTTGTTAGCAGCCACGACTTCCTTCAAGTCGTCAACATTGAACACACGAACATTTTCCAAATCATTAACACACGATCCCACGTTCCTTGGAACCGAGATATCAACAAAGAATCTTGACCCCTCTAAATCCTTCACGTCTTCTTTCAGGAAAAGCGGGACATCAGATGCTGTACTAGTGAAGATCACATCCGCTTCAGCAGCACAGGGGAGCATATCTGTGAGTGGCCTGTAGATAATCTCCACATCATCCTTATGCTCTTCTCTAATGGCTGCAACTCTTTCTTCACTTCTGTTCACGACCACCATCTTTGTGCAACCCTTTGCCACCAGGTGCTTGATTACCAGCTTCCCCATTTTCCCTGCCCCAACAACTAGCATGCGAGCAGTTGCATGCGCCGATTCAGGCAGTTTCATCAGAGCTAGTTCGACAGCAGCCGAGCTGACGGAGACCGCCCCAGCTGCAATGCTCGTCTCAGTTCTCACACGTTTACCAACCGATATTGCGTGCTTGAATAGCCCGCTGATGTTTCTTCCAAACCCAACAACACCTTGGCCGACTTTTACCACTTGCTTGACTTGAGCGAGGATTTGACCCTCTCCAAGAACGAGTGAATCGAGACCAGAAGATACTTCGAACAAGTGCCTCGTAGCATCATTGTTGTAGAGCAAGAATCTGTGCTCGCAGATTTCTGCAACCGGGATACCAGATGTCTGTGCAAGCAAAGGAGAAGCCAGTTAGTTTAGTTAATTAGCATTCTGATAATAACATTATGTGGCTTTCCAGATCAAAAGATTAAATTCTGATGCTAAGCTAATCACCTTGGACATCCACTCGGTGACTTCTTTGACCCCACGATGCTGTGAAAGTGCAACGACATATATCTCCATTCTGTTGCAAGTGCTGAGAACAGCAGCCTCTTCGATATGGTTCAAGTTGCAGAGTTCAGCAATGGCTCGTGGCCATTCGGCTTCTGGGATGGCAAGCTTTTCACGCATCTCGACTGGTGCAGTGTGGATACTGAGTCCTATAGCCACGATGCTCGCCCTTTCCTTTGTGTATCCTGCAACCAAGTATTTTGTGTAACTCGTAAGCAACAGGAAAAACTTGAGACACAATTTTGTGTATGTCTTCACAAATCAAATTCGTCCATCCGTCACATCAGAAATCAAACAAATGAAATCCGGTTAAGACCACCATCAACAAAACAAGGTTCAAAAGCAACCCAATCAGCAGAAAATTCGAAACCTTGAATAACAAACTGCATTGAACAGAAATCAAAATTAGATGGGAATCTACTCACTGTCAGCGGCGGATGCCTTGAGCTGCTCAAGGGCAGAGAGGCTAGAAACCTTGTCGAGGTCAATATTACTCTCGGCAGTCTCAACCACAGCATCCCCTGAGGAAGAAGGCGCAGTGACCTCACATCTAAGACCTCCTTTCAGCATTACCCTCCTCCTCAAGTTATTCCGAGCGGGGTTTGGGAACGGCCGGAGCTGCGCCGGAGCCAGATAAGCCCTGAGGGACACCGACCCAGATGAGGACGCCGGCGGCAATGAAGAATTCAGGGAGAAAGCCTCCATCTTGGCTGCAGCAAGAGTAGTGGCGAGACCGCTCGAAACAGCCATTTTGAGCCGGCAGAAGGGAGAAAAATTTGAAGGGGAGAAAAAGAGAATCAGAGACGATTAAAATGAAACTAATATGGTATGAGTAAGGGCGCTCGGGCTCCGAATCGGAATCTGAAACCCTAGATATCTGAGTAAGCTGAATTCTGACTCTTCAACGGAGCGCCGGCTTCCGGGAAGAAGGAGGAGGAGGAAGGCGGAGAGCCGGTCTTGGGGTTGGTCGCTGTGTGTTGGGTAATTGAGCTCGTTTTTGTCTTCGTAGTTGGAAAGGGCTTTGGTCAGGAAGGAGCGTGTGGTGGAATAATTGACCTGCTCTCTTCTCCTCCAAATTGGAGGCTGGCTGAGTATTGGGAATTCAGGATTGGGATTTGGTGTTTTGTTTTGGTGCATTCTGATTGGCGGGTGTTCTCCACGTTTTATCCACATCCCCCACTTCATCATCGCTCTATTTCCTTTTACTTTTAAGTTTTAATTGTTAAATGTTTTCTTTTTTGGCATAGATACTCGGTATCAAAATTCAAAACAGAACCCGCCTGACTAACCCGATTCGTAACTTGATCCGACTAATCCGACCCGTAATCTGAATTGACTAAAAGTCGATGAGCCGTAACTTGCTCGATCCGTAACCCGATTAACCTGCAACCCGATTAAACCTGTAACTCGATTGACCCGAACCCAATTGGCTCGAACCTGACTAACCCATAACCCGCCCGATTGACCCGAAGTCAATTGGTTTATTATATATTATATAAATTTTCAAAATGGAGTTTGTTTGTTGTAAAACTAATTGAAAGTTCAAAAAAATGATATTGAGCTAAAATTATGTATTTTAATTAAAGAAGAAGAGAAAGAAATAAGGGAGAGTTTTTATGCTTTAGTTTATAGGAAGAGAAAGAAATGAGAAATTTTGATGTTTTCAACTTTTTGGAGAAATATGAAATTTGGTGCTTAAATTTTTGGGAAAAGAAAGAAAGGGTAGAAAGAAGGGGTAGTTTTGGTGTTTTGGTTTATAGGAAGAGAAAGAAGTGGGAATATTGATGTTTTCAACTTTTTTTTATGAATCGATTTGTTTCTTATTCATCAAAAAGGCGTTGCTAACAACAGCCTTGCTAGCTAGGCAAAGTCCAACCAGAAGGTGTAGAAAAAACAACGAGACTACACGGGACTACTACTACTAACTACAACCTCTGCGACAAAAAATTACCCCACCCAGAATCGTCTAACACGTTGACTTCCCAGCAAACATTCAACTTCTGTCTTAATCATCTTCAGAAGAATAGGAAGATCATTTGCTTTCTCTGCATACAAGCGCCTGCATCTCTCATGCCAGATATGGCTTAACCACGTCTGCCATATAATCCTCCCTGTTTCAACAGCCTCCGTTGTAGTACTCAACTTTGAAGTGACCCAAACAAGTTCATCGTCCCAGCTCTGAAGCATAGGGATATGCAGAAATCTGCCAAAGAGGGAAACAAAGATCTGCCTCGAGAATGGACATTGTACATAAATGTGGTCTCTATCCTAGGGGTGGGCATCCGGTTCGGTAAACCCGAACCGAGTCGAAACTGAACTTGACCGAACCGAAACCGAATTAATATTGTTCGGAAGGCAAAAACATATATTTCGAAAACCAGGGTCTACTCAACCGAACCCGATATTCCGAATTCCGACCGAACAAACCGAAATTCCTCACCCTCTCACACATACAACCCACAATTAGAAGCCCACTCACACACACATCCAACAATTACAAGCCCACTCTCATACACATACAACCAACAACTCAAGCCCACTCTCTTACACTAAAACCCTAGCCAAGTAAAAAATCCTCTTCTTCTTCTTTCATCGTCCTGCCTCGTTGAGGTCGTTATCCTCTGCTGTTGATATACCGCCGCCGCCAGCTGCCTCTGGCAGACCACCAGAGTCCAATACCTTTCCCCTCTCCGTTCTCTTCTCATCGCCGACCATTGAAACTCAGAAAACCAACCAAAAACAAAATCATCGATTAGCAAAGGCATACAAAAAATCCAATAAACAAAAACAAATATAAAATCATTTTACCAAGGAGGGATCCAGATCCTAGATCTAAGATGACATGCGACGGCAACCAATCACAGAGCTACGGCGATAGAGGCGACACCCCCCAGATCTGCGACGGCGACGACACCCCTCAGATTTTCGGCGGCATGCGACGGTGACAACAACAACACCCCCAGATTTGCGGCGGCATACGACGGCGGCTCATCTCGTCTCTCTTCACGGCATGGGGAGGGATCGTAAACGGTGGGGAGCTTTCCTCCTTTTCGATCGCGTCGCCGCCGCCGATATGCAGTCGATGCAACCGCCATTGTCGGCTGTCGCTACCCCCGTCGCCTTCCGTTGCGAGTTGCCGTTGCCGGAGGAGAGACTAGAGAGAGAGAAGGGGTGAGGGATTAATTGACGGAGGAGAGAGTAGAGAGAGATTGGGGTGAGGGATTAAACTGGGGCTCGTGTTGAGATAGGGTTGTGTTTTATTGCTTCGATTTTGAGCTTTGAAACTGGACCGAACCGAAATATAATTCTGTTCGGATGAACCGAATTATATTTTTCTCCGGAATCGGTTTGCTATATGGCCTATTTTGGGGACCCTGTAAGCATAATATCGGTTCGGTTTACTCTATCCTCAACCCTTGTATAGTATAAACAACAATTCAGACCCCTTAAGAACCCCCCATTTATGCATTTTTACCTTTGTATTAATGTTGCCTCTTACAACCAACCATGTTAAGATCCGGTTTCCAGGAATGCTTTTGCCCTTCCAAACAAGTTTTTACCAATTCACAGTCATCATAGCAGGGCGGAGAAGCTTCCAAACTTTCTTGATAGAAAAGCGAGGCATAGGAGAGTCGTCCAACAAAAGAACTGCCCCCCCCCCCCCCAGAAAATATAAAAGGCTATACTCTGCTCCTTAGCTTCAACAGTTTACTCCAATTCCAAGAACTAGATGAACATGTATATGTCCAAAAATTCTTGCCTTTCAGCTTGTATCTATTGATCCAGGCCACCCAGATGGAGCCTTCTTGCAACAAAATTAGCTAAATGTGCCTGGTCATACATGCCTGATTCCAACTACATAAGTCCCTAAATCTCAGGCCTCCTTCTTTCTTTGGGAAAGTCAGATGCTGCCAAGCCACATTAGCCCTGAGTTTCACACCAACTTCAACCCCCCAAATGAAATTATTAAAGATTTTCTCCACTTCCTTAATAACAGATTTAGGCAGAAGAAAGACAGACATCCAGAATTGGGTTTGCCTGCCAATGCCTTACCTTTGCCACTAGCTTTCCAATCAGTGGTCTGCAAGCATCTAGACTAAGCTTACCAGAAATCAGAGGAACACCTAAATAACGAACGGGGAAGTCTCCCAATTGATAGCCAAATCTATCGGCTCGCACCTTCCTTTCATCTCTATCCAGACCCCAAAGAAGATTTCACATTTACTAGGATTAGATTTGAGACCAGAAACCTTCTTGAACTGAGACAGAATTCTTTGCAATTCTTGAATACCAGCATTTGAAGCGTCAGAGAAAACCAACAAGTCAACAGCGAAACATAGATGAGTGAGTTGGACCCCTTTACACATAGGATGATATGGAAATAAACCCTCAAAAGCTGACTTGTCTATCAAACAAGAAAAAACCTCCATAGCAATTAAAAAGAGATAGGGAGATATGGGGTCTCCTTGTTGAAACCCTTTCCTGGCTGGGAAGTAACCTACTAACCCTCCATTGAAATATACACTAAGCATAGGTGTGCCCACACACGTACGAATCCAATTCACAAATCTCTTTGGAAATCTCATAAATTTAAGGACTTGAAAGATGAAATTCCAATAAACCGAATCAAACGCCTTCATCAAGTCTATTTTTAAAGCACATTTAGGGGAAACATTCCGATGAGAGTATTTACTGACCAACTCACGAGCCAACAAGATGTTTTCTTCAATTAATCTACCCTTAACAAAAGTTGTTTGATTCTTGCTGATTAGGAAAGGGAGTAGAGTACTAAGTCTGTTAGCAATGACCTTAATTATGCATTTGTAGAGAATGTTGCAACAGGAAATTGGCCTAAAAATTTTCATCTCATATGGATTGGGGACTTTTGGGATCATAGATAAGATAGATAGGAACTCTATCTTGTTCAAAACAGAATTGAATGACTGATGTTGCCTTAGGACCAATAAGTGGCCAGGCATATTGAAAGAATGCTGCAGAGAAACCATTTGGACTTGGACTCTTATCTCCATCCATAGAAAATATCACATCTTTAATCTGCTCAGCTACGAAAGGTGCACAAAGCCCCTCAATCTGTTCTTCATTAAGCTTTCTTCTCAGCAAAGCATTAAAAAATCATCTGGTTGAATTTCTACCTTAGAATCTGCTACTCCCAACAACCGTTCATAAAACCTCACTGCAATTTGAGCCATTTCCTCAGCATCATGAACTTGCTCTCCAACCTCATTCTTAAGAACCCTTATAGTACTTATTTTCTATTTCACTCTAACAGTACAATGAAAAATGCAGAATTCATGTCACCTGTTTTGAGCCAGTTTTCCCTTGACTTTTGCTTAAAGAAAGACTCATCTGCATCCATTAGAACTTTTAGCTCCTGCCCCACTTCTTTTCAATTTCAAATAAATCTGCAGATGGAGCAGTGACAGCCTGTTGTTGGACATTATGAACTTCAATCTCCTTCACTCTCTCACTTAAATCTGAAAAGTCCTCCTTATTTAGCTTCCTCAATAGATTCTTTAGGTGCTTTAGCTTTTGACTAACCCTGATCAGAAGATGATCAGATACATTACTCCTCCAAGCCTCTTCAAGTAACTCATCAAATCTAGGTGATGAAGCCAGGACTTGAAAATTTTGAAAGGCTTTGAGAGAGACTTCAAGGAAGTTGTCGTATCAACATACATGGGCCAGTGATCTGAGACTCCAGGGGGCTGGGAAATGAACTTTACCGTCTTTAATTATGTGCAGCCAGGCAAAATTGACTAAAACTCGATCCAATCTCTTAGCAATTGGGTTAGTTGCTTGCTTATTTAGCCAAGTAAACCAAGGGCCAATGGCTTGATGCTCTTCCAACTCAAGATCATCAATCCAGTCATTGAAGAAAGTCATGGCTGCATCAACTCTGGGAGAGTTTGAAGCCTCTGAGGGGTGTCTTATATCATTGAAATCTCCCATCGCCATCCAAGGAGAAGATGTTACTCTAATTCTTCTCAGCTCATTATAAAGACTGTCTAGATATCTCATCATTTGTTGCGTATACTACTATACCAAAGAAATGTTGATTTTCCCCCACCATAAACTGAACAAACTTATCCGAGGAGTGTAGAATAGTAAGCTGAATATCCTTCTTCAAATTAACCAAATTTTACCCAAACCATATG